GGGACATTTTATCATGCTTGGTGGATGTGTAAAAAAGCTAAAAAAAATTGGATTCAAATACACCCGCTGATTCAGATGATTTTAAAGATTAATATACAATTGGGACCAGAGGTCTTTCTTTTGGGACTAATGAACAAACAGTTGGAACAAAGTTATGGAACTTTGTTTCTGTTCATGACAACTGCAGTGATATTATTGTATACACAAAGATGGAAAGACTCAGCAATATCTACAGTGGAGGAATGGTTGGTGAAGATGATGGAACTCACTGAGATAGCTAAATTGATTTTTTTGATTAGAGAAAAGACAATATCTACGTTTATTGCTGACTGAAAACCCCTTATGGACTTTTTGTGTGAAACAGAAAAAAAAATGAACTTATGATTTATAGTTTTGAGGATTAGAAAGAACAGATTATAGAAAAAAGAGAGTCATGTTGTAACTTTAGAGAAAGAAGTAAATTTATAATCGGACTTATAACTGCTGTAAAGAAGATCAGAAGCTACTTCTTTGTATCTTTTTTCTTTTTCTTTTTTCCTTTCTTACTTTTTATTAGTTTGTATTAGTTTGTATCTTCTTTTTAAAAACTTTTAATAACATTATTTTAACCAAGAGAGAGAGAGTGACCAGAGAATACCCACTTCGCAGAAGGTGAACAGCTGTGGCTTAAACAAAAATAACTAGCCCAGGGACACTATGCTAACCCATAAAGTGGTTTGTTTAGTTTAGCTTATTATGTGAACTTGAACAATATTGTCTTATTCAGTAAGCCATAATTAAATAGAGATGCATACAGCAGAACCATGGTTGTAGGTGAGTGAGCAGTTTGGATATCTAACCTGTTGGAGTATTTTGATTCCTGTCCAGATGTTCAGCTGTCACCACAAAATCAATTATTGTGAAGTTGCAAATGGAAAAGTTCTGGTTCTTCAAGTAGTGATACAAATGTCATTTCTGCCATCTTTTTTTTTAATAGTTGTCTGTGGATCCTGGTTTGACCATGTTTTAAGCTGGGAAAAACACTGGCATGAGAAAAACATCCTGTTCTTGTTCTATGAAGACATGAAAAAGGTAAATTGCCAACTGTTTCTCGTTTCAGAACAGATGAAGAAAGCAGATGCCAAAGCATTTCGCTCCATCGTATTTTCCTTTTGCTGATCATAATACAGCCTTCTATAACTTGGTGCTTTTTAATGTGTTAGCACACAGCCGTGCTGCCAGGAAATTTTGGGTGCTGCAGTCCAGTACAAGGGCATCAAAGTGATGTGTGTTAGAGTCCTACCTTTTCCAGAATGGTAGGTTCAGCTTACCAGATTTATTTGCTTTTTTATGGCCACCTTACTCCTCACTGTACACACACATATACATACCTCCATGTATACATACCCATGGGATGTGCAAAGCCTACCCATTCTGGGAACCAGAAGCTCAACTATTGGAGAAATGTTTCAACATTTGATTCGCTGATCTTTAGTATGGTAGTTTTTGCCCATTCTCTCTCTCCTCAGTGTTTCTCAACCTTGGCAGCTTTCAGATATATGGTCTTCAACTCCCAGAATTCCCCAGCCAGCCTTGCTTGAAGATGTGTGGACTTCAACTCCCAGAATTCCCCAGCCAGCCTTGCTTGAAGATGTGTGGACTTCAACTCCCAGAATTCCCCAGCCAGCCTTGCTTGAAGATGTGTGGACTT